TTAAAACCATTCAGTGTCAGATGTAAAGATCTGAGGACAACAGGCCAAAGAAACATAAACTTGCCTCGAAGACTCTTACCTGTACTCTGAACCAGGCAAATTTATTTGCAGGCAGTTCCAAGGCCACTTTTAGTATATGGTACTGCAGAACAGGAGGGATCTCCTCTCGGAGGCCTTTTTCGGTGACGATACCTGAGGTTTGAAAGCAATGTAATCAAGTTTGATATTTCTTCCTGAGATTGTCAGGAACACAAACCATATAAGGTTCCATTCAAAACATCAGTGTGAGACAATCAGGCAGTTCACAGACTTTCAAGCCACATGATCTCCCACTGCTACTATTTTTGGCTGACCTAAGGCTGCAACCCAGCCCTCAGCAGGGAGGGCCTAAGACTTGCCCCTGACACCAGCTATCAGTGGTGCACAGGATTATAAAACCCTTCTATCAACCTCAGGAACTCTGTAAAGCTCTCCCCTACAGGAAGGGAAGAGGATGGATAAAACTGGAGACCAAAACATAGAATTTAATCCAATAACAAATTTTAATGATTACACTATTCCAAAATTTGTTACAGGCAACAGAACTTAGCACTTATATCTTTTCCCACATCACTTTTACCATCTGCTTACGACTGTTATTGCATAGCCTCAGAATTAACCACCTTACAGATGACAGAGCCATGCAGAGACCCCTCAGTGTGCTCCAAAAAAATCAACCTGCCCACACTTCAACTGCAGTCTGAGATCAAGTGTATAGAGCTTTGGTGTCAGTGTGCTTTTTGTACTCGGTATAGTATCTTTCTGGTCCACAGTCGAGGCAGAACAATGAATTAAAAAAAAAAAAAAAAAGGCAGCATCACTCCAAAGTCCAACCAACAGTAAGATCAAACAATAAAATTGTACCAGCTGTTTAAACACACATTGCTACAAAGTAGAAAAATACGATGCCTTCAGATTGTATGTTCTGATCAGGTGGAGGGGAAGGAATGACAGAACTCTCAAAGTGGCATCCGAAAGAAGGAAATCATATCCTCTTTCATCAAATTTAATATCCAGGCTTTCTTTATTACGTTTCTGAGAGAATAACACTTTTTTTTCCCCATCCTATTCCACTTCACTATTTCATACTGTAACAAAACATACCATCAAAGAGATTTCTGTCTCATGAAGAGGTGTCGTGCCTTTTGTCCATTTTGGAAAAAAAGCAGATCAATACCAGAAGTAAAGGGATAAACAGGATATGTGATTTTGTGAGTCACCAAGTACACAAGCCAACTAAATATGCTTTGACAGAGGGAGAAAAAACCTTATCCATGAGACTGTTTAATCAAAGTTTGTTGGTTTAAAAATCCTTCTTCCCCTAACAGACTTTAATTAAGGCACTTATATAACTCCCATTCTTACGCATCCCAGACCTGCCTAAAACACGGACACTTGTTCTAGTTTGGTGGCGTACAAGCTCTGCTGGCCCACGGACAGCAACACTGCCCAAACAACTTTTTGCTCTCTCTCCTCCAGTCTCAGTTTTAAATGGTTGTATCTGCTGTAGCCACAAGCAGTACTGGAGGATCTTGCCTACAACCCATAACTTGTGGCTCATCATCCTTGCTGCATTAAACGGGTACAGAATGTCTCTATTTACTTTGGCTGGAGAGGAATACCTCCAGTGAACACGACATCAGAGACCAAAATACAGCAAACTGCTAATGAGCTTCCTGATATAGATTTTCCTCAGGAGGTAATACCATGCTGGAACACTGCTGTTCTCCCCACACGCTGCAAAAAATCATGATAAGAGTAAAACAAATGAGCCAAAAAATCCACAGCACAGCAAATGGAAAAATTATTTAAATGTTAAGATTTTCCAGAGGAGACTGGTGAATTTGTATGTGATCCTCTCCCCCTCCCCAAACCTTCTATGAACCATCCCGCTAAAAAAATGTCTGTATCATCGCAGCTAAGAAGAGTTTGGAAAGTTCGACCTGGATGTGCCATTCAGAGGGACCTGGGCAGGCTGGGAGAGTTGGGCGGAGAGGAACCTCCTGAAGTTCAACATAGGCAAGTGCAGGGTCCTGCACCTGGGGAGGAATAACCCCAGGCACCAGGACTGATTGGGGGCTGACCTGCTGGAGAGCAGCTCTGTGGAGAAGCACCTGGGAGCCCTGGCGGACAACAAGTTAAGCATGAGCCAGCCATGTGCCCCTGTGGCCAAGAAAGCCAATGGTATCCTGGGGTGCATGAGGAAGAGTGCTGCCAGCAGGTGGAGGGAGGTGATCCTCTGCCTCTACTCAGCCCTGGTGAGGCCTCACCTGGAGTACTGTGTCCAGTTCTGGGCTCCCCAGTACAAGAGAGACATGGCGCTACTGGAGAGAGTCCAGCGGAGGGCTACAAAAATATTTAGGGGACTGGAGCGTCTCTCCTCTGAGGAAAGGCTGAGAGAGCTGGGCCTCTTCAGCCTGGAGAAGAGAAGACTGAGGGGGAATCTGATCAAGGTGTACAAGTGTCTGAAGGGAGGGTGTCAAGAGGATGGGGCCAGACTCTTCTCCGTGGTGCCCAGCGACAGGACGAGAGGCAACGGGCACAAACTGAACCATGGGAAGTTCGCTCTGTGAGGGAACAGAGCACTGGTGCAGTTGTGCAGTCTCCTTCCCTGGACATATTCAAAAGCCGTCTGGACACAATCCTGGGTAATGTGCTGTAGGTGACCCTACTTGAGCAGGGGGTTGGACTAGATGATCTCCAGAGGTCCCTTCCAACCTCAACCATTCTGTGATTCTGTAAAATAACTTATTTATAATGGAGTACTACCACACATAGACCTATGGGAATTTTGCACCCATATTCTCATTAAGAGTTGGATATATGTCTTCCTCAGAAACATCAGAATTAAAACCCCACAGAAGAAAAATTTCTGCAGAAAGATCACCACATACTCAGAGGAAGACTGTAATGCAACCTACATCTTACAGTAAGAGTGAGCAGAGCAGAGCAGCTATGGAATTTGAGAAGACAGAGTGCCAGAGAACTGCACAAACAGCAATAATAAATGGCAATCCAATAAAGAAACTAAAATGGGTTACTTTTTGAAAACCATTCTTTCTCTAGCTACACAGTAAATAAGCAGCAGTAGTAAAAGTAAATATTTCCCTTCTGCTGAGGACTTTGCAAATAACCAGTAAACACAGTGATAATAGAAATACCTATAACATACCTTTAAGTAGCTTGCTAAAATCAAAATTGCTCCGCGCTACCAAATGGGGCACAACCTTCTGATAAAGGCATATGACCTGAAGTAGTGCAGCTTTCAAAAAGAGTGTTTCGGCATCATCTGAACCTAAGCAAAAACAAAGTGTTGACATAACTAGCTTCTCCTTCCTTTACACCGAGGAAGCACAATGTAGCACCTATGTTATCCAACATGAGAATTAATGACTGTATTGCCAACAGATGTGCCAACGAACCGATCAGTTATCTTCCTGACTAACAAAATAATAGGAAAAAAAAAATCATTATGGAATCTCCAGTTTTCTCCCCCAGTATTACTGCCTGAATACTTCCAAAACTAATCAATCTTATTCAGTGCTCAAACTGGCAGTTGCCCTTTTAAATTTGATTGTGAAGTGTTCACACATATAAAGACAATTTCAATGTTTTGACATCCGCTAGAAGGATCCAATCAGTCCCATTGCTGTTCTATTTAAGGTTGACCAATAGAAAAAAAGGCAAGAAAAAGGATATGGTCAGGCTGCTGGGTTTGGGGGACTGAGTTTTTAGCCAACACCAGGTAGGTTTGACTGTGGGAAGTACAGGAGACAGTATGCTAACATATTAGTAATTTATTACATTAGTTAAAAGTTTCCTTCTTTCCCTTCCCTTATTCAAAATAATACTTTCCAAATGTGAACTCCTGGGAGGAGGAAGCCAACAAATATCTGTATGAGAGAAACCCCATCCCCAGCTAAAGCTAAAGCTGGGGATTTACTTCTAATGAAAAGCCATTTCAGCAGCCAAATACTCTTTCAGTTTATGACACGAGGATACATAAAAGCTACTTGTTATCCAGTCACTAACGAAAGGAAGCAAAAATAAATGAAGGACAGCCAAAACTTTTTTTTTTTTACACCTATTTCTTTCCTGCTAACTGGGTCTGCCTCAGGGAGCCATGAAGAAACGGATGGATGCCACGTATAAACTTTGTCCTTCTTTGCCAGAGTCTCAACTTCCATTAAGAAAAGAATTCTCTAGTTGTCACACTGCAAATAAAGCTGTAAGAGGTGAATGGATGGTAACTGACATAGTGTTATCACCGTAGTGCGCAGAGAAAATAAAGTAGCAGATCTTTAGAGACAAGCTACTCTGCTGGTCTCCAAGGCACGCTACCAATTAAGATCCCTAGGGTGTCACTGTTGACAACTATTTTGGCGCACAAAGCCATACACAGGACACACTCTGATGATCCCTCTGCTCCAGAACGTCCCAGTGTGGAGTATGCCCTGTGAAGGGCATGAAGCTTGTTGTAGGTTTATCCTCAGCCTATAATTAAATATTGCAGGCTGCTAGCTAAGCTACGGAAAGAACTAAAAATTCCAGTTCCCTACAATGGGACTATAAAAGTATGTCCTTTGGGAGGGGTACTGTTTAATTTTTATGAAAGCACAGCTGAAGTCTTCACTCTCCCCTTCTCCCAACACGTGCACATTTCCATCCCTGCACTACAGCAATACAGACATTCATGTAGCCATAGTAGCTAACGGGCTCACAGAAATGATCTCAGGGAAAAGCTTGACTGGGGCAGGAGGGAACCCTCAAGGAGTTATTTTTCAGACAGATCAGTTTCCCTGCTCATTTTGTTGTGTGCCTGCAAAATGCTTGCAAGAGCATGGGAGGGCAGGGACAGCAGAAAGTCAGACCGCTTAACCTCTTACTTAGCAATGCCAACTAGTTTGCCAAACTGTGTTGCTAAGCAATTCTGACACTGGTCAGAACTGAACTGCCCAAAGAGCAGAACAAAGCAAAGCTGAACAGTAAATGCTAGGAGTGACATCTGGGCTCTGCTGAAGTGAACTACCTTACACGGGACAAGGATTTCATGACACCCATTCACACACAGGTAAGAAGGGATGACTCCACCTGCTTTGCCTCCCATGCGGTTCAGCAACTTCTGCTATCTCAGTCAGTGCCTTCACAGAGGAGATGGTGCTTTCCCTCTTCTCTTGCCCATCATGATTTTCTCTCTCTTGCTTCAGAAGTGACTGCCAGACAGCCACTATATTGTTCATGTCTGGTAAAAGCTAGAAGTAAAAAGAGTGAATCACAACAGATCTCCTGTGCTAGAGAAAGCTATTCTGAAATATTCAAAGCTATTCAAATATTCAAAAGAAACCAAGGAAAGGTCTTGCTGCTCTTCAGAAAGTTTGCAGTTGATCTTGTAAGCAATCAGAAAAAGATCTGAAATCAAGTACTTTAACTTCAGATCTGCAGAATATAAATCCTGGAAGGAGGATTTTATTGAAAAAGTTACCTGCTAAACGTTCAAACTTGTTTTCTTCGTATTCATGGTATATTTTCACCTCAAGTTCTAGCTTGTCTGGTAGCTTATAGATCTGCATCAACCTTGCTAGCTATAGTTTACTTGAACCAGGAGGAGAATTTTCTCCTGAAGCTGCTCTTGGAATTTAACAGCTGCCAGTATTACAAATTTGTCTCATAACAAAATTTCCTTAGCGTTTCTATTGACCAGCTTTATCAGACAACGTGCTCTGCTACCACAACAGTTGTTAACATCTTGTAAGTTCCCTATTCGTTTCAAAAGGCGCTTTACCTACTGATTCCCAGGCTGCAACCACCTGGGGAGAAAGTGTAGCACAGGAGTAGTGACCTGCCACATAATGACTTGCTCTACACCCTGACTCTCTTTTTACTTCATACCTTGCTGATAGCTTCTCTGTAGAGTTGTGTGAATTCCTGCATCATTGACAGCGTGTAGATTTCTGACTTTTGCCAAGTGTCTTCATTCAAACAGTACTCAATATTCTTCAAGGCTCTTCGCAGAACTGTCGATATAAGGGACAGGATGCTGTGCTTCACCACTTTGCTAGGTAACTAAGAGAGGGAAGTTGAATTAATGATGCTTCAGTGCTGCTTCTTATGCTTTGTACACAATCCATATTCTGAATGTATATGAAAATTCATAAATAAATTATTTACTTCCTAAAGCTCAGCTTGCGGGAAAGAATCTGTAGGTAGGTTTCTCATTTCCAGCCCAAACTGCTTGTGAGTACTGGCAGAACTGGGGTTTGTGAATGGAAGCACTTTGGAAGCATTAGGAATAGGATTTAATTCATGTTTCAGTGCTTCCCCATACCAGCTTTACACTGGGACAGATAATATAAAACATATGCAATTAATCAACTTAAGAAGCTTCTTGGATGATCGCACACTTAAATCAGACAGTACTAACAAGGACAGAAAAATCCACTGAAATATTGTAAATTGCTCTTACATTTAGTCCTTGGGTGAACATTATTTTATTGCACACTGCAGGGACAGTTGTTACCATCACCATAGAAAGCAGCCTAGGAAGAGGAATAAACTCTGTAGTCTTAAAAGAAGTGGAAATCTCTGGTTGAGCCTCATAGATCTGAAAGAAAAATAACAGCTTAATCTAAATTGACATAATTCTGGAGATAGCAGCTTCTTCTGCGGAGCATTTTACAAAAGAGCTTCTATTAATCATAAGTAATCACAACAGTACTAAATGCTAACTTCTATGCACGAATGCTACAAAGCATCCTCCAAATTTCTATTCAGTTCTCTAGCTGAACTGCTATGTTGCTGCACCTTGAAAATCAGATGATCAACACGAGGTTTCCCACTGCTTCTTATGCCAATTCCTTATTTCCCATTACAGCTAAATGTTTATACGGCCTCCTGCTCTGAGAGCAGCTTTTTACCAAATGACCTTCCCTACATCTATACTTTTTAAAGTAGCTGTGGCTCTAAGCCATGGCTCATTTTCCTTAGCACCCACAGAAAACAGGATGCCATTTCCTCCCCGCTACCCTCCTCCATTTACCGCCTTCAACACTTAACAACATCCTGCTGCTTCTTTCCTAACATATCTACAGTAATTGAGGTTGTTATTTCAGAAGCATTGAGCTCTTCCTGTTTAGCTCGCTTAAATCTCAATCACCTAACTTCACTGCTGGACCGGTTTGTTTTTAAGACCATTATTTATTTGAAATTCCGTGCCTGCCTGCCTTTCTAGTGATTTCAATAAACTCTCTAAAACAGCAGCGTGCTTTTACAGCTGAGAATACAATACATCTTCAGATACATGGGAATGTGTCTCATCCACCAGCCCAGCTGATCATCAGCTTAGCTCCCCTGAAATCAGTGAATTCTTGTTACTTGTCACTGGCAAGACCCGGGCTAAGAACACGAATTCAAAATTAGTTTACATCTAACATGGCCACACCACAAGCTGGCTGAGCCCATGTACTGGACAGTACTCGAGTAGTAAGTTTCACACAGCAGTGGCAGAACTTGTAATGCATTGTGACAGCAGTCTGTAACAAATGGAATCAAAGGCAGGCTTCCCCGTTTACTACCAAGGACCTTGGCTTTATAACTTTTCTCTAGGCCAGAAATGCTTGATTTACTGTCATTCCTATTACGATTTTGTGTAATTCTGCACTACTGTTTAACTAAAATTACTTCAGTTTGGGGAAGAGCATTAGAATCTCTGTGGAGTACAGCTGTGCATCATTCATACTCTCACCTTTTTTAGTAACTTGATATTGTCCATCCAAGCTGACTTCAATCTAGGAACAAAAGAATACTGGGTGTCCTTAAAGTACCTGTTCAGTAAATCTGGGCATACTTTAAGAATATTCACCACAAGGTCAGCAACCATTTCATCTTCTGTTGCAGTTTTTAAACCAAGCAGAAAGCGCAGAAGCACCACATTTCCTCCTCTATAGAAGATAGAAAACATACTTTAAAAATCTCTACTTTGATATTTCACAAGTGATGATAACTCTAAAACTCCAAACTGATATTGCAATGCAAAAAGTTAAATCTCTTCTAACTGTTGCCAGGGTAAATCCAAGGCAAGACCTCTCACACCGCTGCCATAATGAGTTTATACTGAGGAGAGTAAGAACTCATTTTAGCTACAGATGTTCTGCATGACAAACAAAAGGGAACATAACCACAATGTTTAAAAAAATATTCTAAAACAAACTTCACAAAGCTGAAAACATAGAATTACAGCTTAATACTAAACTGCGAAGTATTTTCTGTGGTCTTTCAGTCTGATTTTTCAAAGTTTCTTCTGTATATCCCTAAACAAAGTGAGACTACTGCCAATACCAGAACAATACCAGTTAAAATTTTGATCAAAGCAAAAAACATCCTGTTTTAGTACGACTCAGTATTAGTCCCTGCTACTACCGCCGAATGCCTTCATTGCCCAGCTGATGAAGCGTAAGATCACCTTAAGAGAATCCCTCCATGGCATTACAAGAGTTAAAATTATTGTACCAGTATCAGTCTGGTACAATCAATCTAAGTTAACACATATTTTAACTGGTTAGCCAATGGAAACTCTAGGGCCAATAAATGTATCCAGACCAGGTGTTCTAGCATTACTGAAATCAATGGTGACATTCCACCAAAATCTGGGATAAATTGTCTATAGTTCTACAAAACGTAAATTAGACTAGATACTTAACTGTGGTCTAGTTTACATTACAGCTCTGTTTTCTTTACGCACACATTAAAAATCCATGGTCCAAAGATCAAAAATCCAGGGTCCAAAGATCGCACCTTACAATAACAGACTTAGTGTCTATTTAGTTATTCATGGGGATAGCTCAGAGGAATGTAACCATTGCCTCTTAAGCCCCTAGGAATAGAGCAGACCACTCGGCCTGCTAGAGTGGAGAGACATAAGGAGACCTAATAGCTTGATCTTGGGAAGTTAAAATAGATGAAATACAAAAAGAAATTTAATCAATATATTTCTCTCTTCGGCCACAAGTTTTTGAGATAGAAGTAGAACTGACTGAGTAAAGTTACTTGCAAAGGCCTGGAAAGCAAGACAACTAGAAAGGTCTCTTCTGTTCCTAGCACAAAGCTAGCACAGCTGACTGGCGACTTACCTGCCAGAAGTTCCAAGACTTGGATCATAGAAATTTATGCCATGTTTCAGAGAACAGCAGAGGTCCATTAAGAAATTATGAACAAGTTCTCGTACCATGATCTTTCCCACCTCTTCAGAACCTTGAGTTACCTATAAAATCCAAAAGGAATAAGACAGACATAATTTTCAATATCACAAAAGAAAATCTTGCATCAATTCCGCTTTTCTCCAAATTTCATGAAGCTACTGTTATACAGAAATGCTAGAAGATAGTTTGTTTTTTGTTCACATTAACACAGTAAGTCTCAGTTTCTGTGTTAAACACATTAAATATTACAATACCCTGTTTCAAGGAAAGCAACCCACCCAAATTCAGATATGTATTTACTATCAACAACGCTTTACTGAGTTAGGGCTTTTTGGTAAGAACCCAGCCAGATAAAGACAGGGAAAAGCAAAGCTAAAGAAAAGTAGTGATGTATCATTTACACAAATTGAGGCAAGGCCATCCTGGGAAATATCCGTTCTGAAATATCCAACTTTCAACCTTACAGCCCAGATTCAGAGCAAAAAAATTCAGAATGACAGAAAAAAAAAACCCCACTGAATCCTTCAGCACAAGCATGTGAAACAAAGACTGTACGTTCTTTGGGCAAATCTGGCAGAAGATGGAACAACTTTAATACAGGCCGCAAAAGATGGATAGCTAACAATGCACTGAAAACACCAGCACCTCAGAAAAAGGGGGTGGGGCATGAATGCCGTCACAGTTATGATACAAAAATGGAAGAAGGCACCAAAATCTCTATCAAGCAAAAATGGAAGGAAAAAAAAAAGCACACATCCAGGTTAAGTTAAGCTTTTACAGTTAACACTATCCAAGACTCCTATGAATAAAAAGTCCCTTAGCAATTTTTGTTGGGAAATCACGAACAATATGGTTCACAAGTTACACGGAATTACAAGAATTTAAAATTACTCCAATCTGAAATGCATGTTTCCGAATAGAGTCATAAATTTACAGAGCTCTAAACAGTCACCTACTAGAAACAGATCTCCTCCGGGAGGTGTTTACAACATCTCAGAATTGGAATGACATAGGCATAAACATTCAGTAGAGGAAGTACAAGAAGGCAATTCTTCAGTGTTAGAATTTCTGATGAAGAATGGTTAGGCTTCTAAAGAGCAAGGGCTAATCGATGCAAAAATCCAGTGGAAGTACGGGAAGACTTTCCACTGCTTTGCCCTCAGGCTTACAAGCATGCCTCATTTGTTCCCACAATTAAGAGGAAAGGATTAAAAAATTAAAAAAAAAAAAAAAAAAAAGGCAACCTACTCATGAAGAGTAGATACCAAAACGCCTTCAGCAGAAACAGCGCAGTACTAACACACACTGGCTCCGAGGCCCTGATCCTTGCGTCATCTACAACTTCAGAAACAATTTCATGGACCAGCAGAATCAAGAGCAGCTCAATCCTTAGAAACTCTGACAACCTCTCAGACCATGCAAACTTAAAATGCTGGCTACCATCTTGGGCATTTAGCTCTCATAGCAGATCAGTCTGTAGAATGGAAATGAGGCCTATGATAAGAACGTCGTAAGAACATGGTAAGAACATTGCTCCCATTATACTCTCCTACAGAGAGACAAATGCGTCCAGGCAGGAGAATATGGTACTCATACAAAGATCCTCGTTTCTCCCTGACTAACAAATCAGCACTGCAGTTCAAGCAATCAGGGAGGGGAAACAACCCCTCGTCCTCAAATGGCGAGAAGCAGCACAAAGTCAGGGTTTCTTTTTAAGTAGTCTTTGCAGAACCCTCTTCTTGAGCTCCCCAATTGTTCTCGCCTTAGGAGAGCTGTTCCAGAACTCGTGGGCTGCAGAAGACAGAAAAAACAGAAAAAGGACTAGGAGTTATGAAGAAACAAGTTACCAGACCTTGAAATCCTCAGTGCTGACATCAGTAATCCCATTCCAACGGTAAAGTGAAGCTATGTGATTCAACACCTCCGCAGTAAAAAAACGCACCTTCTGGGTCTTGGTGACGCTTTTATTTTGAACCACCTGAAAACAATGAGACAAAAACCCTTCTGTTTATTGCAGGTCATCATAAAATAGAAAATAACAGTAAATCAGAACCACACTTCTTTCTTCTTGTACACACACAGCTCCCTCTCCTCACTACAGCAGATGTAAGTTTCTGCCTGTCTTGTCAGCACGTCTTTCTTACAATCACGCTCCCTTCTTGACCCGTTTGAAGCCACGGGACTCTGAACCAATTTCCGCAAACATTGCGCATGCTGAACAAGACAGATTCTCAACTTCGACTAAAGAGCATACAGCATATTTAAGGTAGTACAACCACAAAGATTTCAGACAAGTATCCCAGAGCTTGCTGGTTGAAATGGTAGAACTTGCTAAATATAAAATTTGAATAGCGGGGAGTGAATAGAGGGGAGGTGATCCAGTGGAGTAAGCTGCCAAAAGCTGATAACCAAATGAACCAGCAAACAGGTGGAGCAGGTGTTTCTGTGACAACTAGAAACTCCAGACAGCTTATAAAGCCTGTGGGACCAAATCTCACTCAAAACTCCGATGATATATCTACATCATTTAGAACAATGAGTTTTGGTTAAGCAGAATGTGAAAAGCTGAAGTGTGTTTTTTTTTGTTTTGTCTTTTTTATGTGCAGGACAAAAGAATTTGGAAGGGTTCCAGGCAAAATCTTTAAAATATATGTTTCCTAAAATCAAATTTTCCAGACTCACGATCAAACATTACTAGCCACAACACGAAACTGACAGTGTAATCAAGAAGACAGCATGAATATAACACTAAAATTGCAAAAGTAAGCACTGAAAACCAAAGTAAATCTTCCAATGTTATTTCTCCTATAGTGTTTCCTGTCCTTATTTTTCTAAATTCAGATTTTCTTTGCTAAGCTGAGGAAGTCATATAATATGTCATAGTTTCATCAATTCACAAAATTCACATTCATAAAACATCATATGATACAGGATTCCTATGTGGGAAAAGCTTCATGGAGAAAACAGTTTCTCCGAGATTTATTTTCCATTTCAATGCTAGCTTTGTTCCCCTCCTTTTAAGCTTATTACAATAAAAAAAAAAAAGAAAGAATATTTTTGGCTTAAAATTGGCAGTTGTGAAAGGCCTGAGTCTGAAATAAGTTCTTCGGGTTATACTCACTTTATAATTTGAAAGTATTTTTAATTCATTCTTTCAACCGGTCATTCAACAGCTTGTGCAATGTTGCTACAATAATTCCAAACATAGATTCAAAAAAATCATAGACACTGGAACTAAAAAACATTCAGAAAAAAACATCTTGATAGAAATAAAATAAACCTGGTACAGTTGCTGCGCCCGCAGCAGCAAAAGAACAACAGAGTACAGAAAGGGCAGACAGAGACTTAACCAATTCTCCTGCCTTTCAGCAATTCTTGCCTTCAGACTTTGTCTTACCGTTGCTATACCACAGTTCTCATCTACTACGAAAGAATCATAAAAAACAGCTTCAAAGAGGAGAAGACTTACCTCTCCAACAGCACGTGTTGATAGCAGGTGGAATATACCCTTTCTTTCTTACAACTTCTCCGAAAGACTTTTTTCCTCATTGAGAAGGCAATTTTATAATAAAACTTCTCCTTTCCTTTACCCCATCAAGAAATACCTTCAACTGCATTTATCTCCTACAACAGAAGACTGGCAGTCCTAACTATTGTAAGCAAGTGCAAGGATCAGCTCACCAGGACCACAGGACGTGGCCACCAAGGAAGACCTGCCAAGGTTGCGGAACAGTACTGCATACCTTCAGCTACAAGTAGGTAACCCCTAGAAACCCACTTCAAGCAGGATTCCCCACACTAAAAGCACACAAAATTCTCTTGCTTCTGGAAATGAGACTGTGTGCTCGTCACCCGGTTCAGAGCTAACTAACATAGGACCTCTCCAGCTCAACATGGAGCACATGCTGAAGGATCAACCCTATTGTCACCAAAAGCAATGAAAAGACTCCAGTCTTTTTGACCTTCAGGCTCAGGACTGATGCAATCACAACTCATGAGACAATAGGAATGTGCTGGACACCACACACTAAAGATGAGCTGAAATTAGCATCCAAGTACAAGCTAGGCAATGATTTCATTTAAAAGTGGGCATTAGAAAAACATTACAAGCCTCAGTCCTGAAACAGTATTAGGGCCAAGCCATCAGCCACAAACAAGTATCATCAGTAATGGAAACAATGACAAACTTCTAGCAGCAGCACAGTGCCAACTTCTTTAAAAGCTGTATATTTTATGAGAAACTATTGCAAAGCCGTTTCCAGCAGCAAGGAAAACAGAAAACAAGAGACAAAGCCATTTCAAGGGCATATTGTACCTTAGTTTTCAACGTGGAGAGCAGAAGATTGACAGTAGATATTTTGTCTTCCTTTATTCCAGAACGAAGAATATCTGGAATGAAATCTTAAGAACACATTTCAAATGTTATGTGAAGATGTGAAAGCTATTTTCACACCAAAATGCTTCAGGGAATTCTTCCCCGTTTCTCTTCAATGTCATACTATTTACCTCATTGTTATATTTAAAGATGAGCCAAAAGGCTGCAATCAGAGTTCAGAAAGGATGATGTGTCTGTAACTACAGTAACGAACAAGTAATGCTGCCAAACCTACCCTCACTGTAACTAGCTAATTTGCCAACTCAGTTATTAACACTTATTGCAACAGTGCCTGTCAACTCCAAATGTATTTCAGGCCCCAATCTGCTAAGCAGTACTTAAACTTGAAGCAAGTAACTGTCCTTCCTTGAAAGGCTCACAACTGTTTCATTGGGTGTTTTTCAAATGTTTTGGAGGTGTAATCCCCAAAGCTATGCATTGCTTTGTGGCTCACCTGCCCATCCCAAAGCTGGAGCACTTCAGCTTGTCTAGGTTGGGATAATGAAAATCAGCTGTGCTGATTTGGCCCAGGTGTACACTGTCATTCCCTATTCTGAAAGAACTGAACTACCGCCAGCAATTAAAGGAAGTCAGCAGCTCCCAGGGTAGCATAAACAATAGAAGTCAATAATAATTACCTATTCTCACTACCTCATCACAGAAGAAATGAATTGCTGCCAGTTAGCAGGGCTTTAAGAACTTCTAGATCCTTTCTGCGTTCCTCAATGACCTCAGCAAGGGTCAAAATTCAATTCGGCAAACTTCAGTAAACTTCAGCAAATGAGGGCTCCAACACTCAATCAAGTGTACATAAGATCTGACTTTCTGGATCCTCCTCTTTGTCAGCTTGACTCCATTTTCTAGGGATACATAGGTATAGCATACTCTTGCAGAGCACTCCCACGTAATGCCTCCGTAAAAGATGCAAAAGACATTCCATTGGTCTTTTGAATCATGCACAAAAACCAGCCTGAAGGACTACAGACGGCTGGGCAGTCCTTCTGCATGAGGGTAAAAAGGGAACTAAAGCATGCACGGTCTTTAACAATTTTTTTTTTTTTTTTAAACTTTTTCAAAGCAACATGCCCACTGCTACTGTATCATGAGCAAGGTTGGAGGCCGTGGAGTTTTCTTCTGCTTACTGACTCCATGGCCTCAAAGTTATATTATGTTTAGGATTTTTGGATCTGTATCACCAAGGGCTTTCTATTTTTTGCAATGTTTTTGCAGATTGCAAATGTTATTCTTATGCAGAAAAGGCAAACACTAAAATACTTAAGTCTAAAGCTTTTGTTGAAATGAGATTAGAAATACGATTTTTCTATCTTATTAGCGCTGTTTAACCGGTTCACATTTTGAATTAGCTAATACTTACTATCGTATTTAAAAGATTCTGCCTTTTAAAAATATATATACAAGAAATTGTGAAGTACCTTTTAATTCCAGCACTTGTATCAAGATTGCATCGTCACCAGCAATTAAAAAGGAGAGCGCAAACTGAATGTAGGCCATACGGACATCAGGTCTTCCCTGAAGGAAAGATAAAAGGCACTGCTAGCATACAGATTGTACACAACAGCAAAATTAATCCTGCAGCAATGGATTACCATTATAAACAGACACATTAAACAACTTCTACAGGCACGTTACATACAGCCAGGTACATACTTCTTTTTTTCCTCTAAATGTGCAACACATCTACAGTATATTCCTTTGAAAAGCTTCTTAAATTAACCAGATGATAGTTTATTAATCTTAACATCAAGTAGGAACGTATCTTAGTTCACTCCTTTCTCAATAGCTGAGCTAGGCCACAAATTAAAAAGAAGAAAGTGTTAACACGAGTTTCATGCCAAACCCTTGTATACAAATCACTTAACTTACTAACTTCTGCACTGCTTTTGTACACTGGTCAATTCAAAAAAAAATAATCAAGAATGGGAATGGCAAGCACCGGTGCAATTTCTTACTACGTAGGCTGCCAGAGCACTGCCACAACAGAGGATCCTGGACACTCACTGCCATCTTTGGGCTGCAACGCATCCACCTCTGCTCAGCTATCACTGCTCATGGAGCTACCTGGATCATGCAACTGAGAAGGGCTAAAAAAACAGCCCTTCAAAAAAGGGCTATGTTATGAAACTACAAATTCAGGCATGCTGTAGCCAATGAAACCTTTGCTTGGAAGAGTACTGTAGGCAACGAACATGATTTATAATTTCTTGGTATTTATTGCGTAAAATTAAGTTGTATGTAAAAACTATCCCCAAACAATACTTGCTGGGCTAAACATAAGGCAAAGGTGACTTGTTAAAGAGCTGAAAGGAGAGATAAAGAGAAAGGAATTAGATTTTGCTCTAAGTTTGGGCTTGATTTTTTTTTGTATTAAAAATTCAGCCCTGGCAGTCACTTGTGACATGGTATTTTAGTGAAAGCTGAGAAAAAGCAGGATCTTCAATCGGTATTTGAAACTCTTTCTCTTGTATCTAACTTATTTGCATATCTAATAAGCATGTGGTCAGAAGACTCTATATCTAAACCCTTAAATCTAAGGGGTACTGCCAAAGATTGCTTCTGCAGCAAGGTGAAAAAACATAAAATCTGACATTCCTAAAATTGTGTTTTTATTGCTGTATATATATTTAGAGAGAGAGAGAGAGAGAGAGAGAGAGAGAGAGAGAGAGAGAGAGAGATTAAGTAGAAGACCAAAACAAACACCCTTCTTTCTAAAACCACCTTTAACAAACTCATTTGTCACCACAGCTGGCACAAATCCAATATAAATGTATACATTTATTCTGCAAGTCATCTTCAAAAAACAAAGAAAAGATTTATTATGAGTTATTTACACAACAAGGAGCATAACTGACACTTAATGGACTCTGACCAAAAACGAGACACAATGCATTGATGGTGAAAGTGCATTGAAAACGCACTGAAAATGACAGTGGATTTAATGTACACTTATATTTAGAATGAAATATAAACATTCTTCTTAAACATTAGCGCAGGTCATCCCTGATTATTCTTCACAAATAGGAAGAAAACAAGAAATAAAGTTCATTTTGGAAAAAGAGGAGTGACTTTTTCTGCTCACTCACATATCCTCCTTAAGAAGTCCCACCAAGAGAGAGTTTTAAGCTCTCTGGCTATATTTTCAAATGCAATAACTCAGAGTGTTCTAATACTAAACAAAATCCTCTCTCCATTGAAACATCCACAGAACCTTCACTTATTTCAGTGGGACCGAACTGCAACCCATGCATTGGAATCAAGGTTAAACTCTTCACATAATCACTAAACGGTTTTTAGAAATTCACCATCACCTTCATTCAGTTTGAGACATAAAAAGGACTGCCAAGTAGCCTGCAGAAAGAGTATCGTTTATATTTCCCCACAGCTTATTAGAAATAGAAATGGCCACTTGATGTTGCATAGTAACTCTACAAAGTAGTGGAAAAATACATTTTTCCTCAGGAGCTCTGCACCCTGGCAGGATGAGAAAGATCAGTGCAGATTGGAAAATGAAACAAGCTATACCTCAAGGGTGCAGGCCAGCTCTCCCACTACTGCAGTCCCTCAGAAATATCCCCTGGGGATTTCCTATGTGCGCAGATGGGAAGCCCCTGCACCATAGGTCAGTTCTGCTGCCAATTAGAAACAACCAGAGACATTTCAACCTGACACAGGACAGGAAGGAAAAGGTGGACAAGTTATTGCAGAGGAAAATGCAGCAAAGACACTCGGCAACAGCTTAATTTTAAATACTTAGCAGAAGAAAGTTGATGGAGCAAAGGCATAGCATTTCACAGCACATCTGTGGACACCCATTTAATTTACCTTCTTATCTCTTTTTTTCACTAAGCCAGATAGAAACTTATTATTGAAATCAAAATGGCTATACACATCCCTTGCTGAATCTGGTCCCTGGGCCACCATTGCTGACAACAGGGTAAGGCATACTCGGCTCATCCTAAAACAAAAAGCAGAGGAAAAACATGTAGTTTATTTCCAGAATGAGGGTTATGCAAATAACCTTTGCAAGAGATTAAAACACGAAGACCAACATTTTTCCTATAAAAGATCTCATTATCCCATTCCACCTTCAACCTCCATCCTCACTTTTAGGGCATCAAGCAGTTCTCAGAGTCAGTCCCAATGCGAGAAATCAGCAGAGCAATTAGGCAAGCATCCCTGGACATGCAAAGCTTTTGCTGCAGTCGGCGGGAGCTTTGGTTGAACACATAACCAACCATTTTAATGACCAGCACAATACGGATTTAGGCCATACACATGTTATACCATTGTTCACGAGGAACTTTGGTCTTTCTTGCAATCAGCTTATTTTTACAGACATATTTCATGAATTGAGGCCCCAGGCCTGCAAACACTTACACACTTTGTTTAAGTTTACTACCACAAGCAGGTTCATAGGAGCTACAGCTGAAACTTAAGTTAAGGACACATACAGTGTAGGCCACATTAATACTGCATTGTTTCTGTTTTAACTGAACGATTTTGTTTTTCAGCTGCAGTATGCAGCATAGGAGCCACGTCTTTGTCATTGAACTAAATCTCCAAATCCATACTCAGCTTTGATTCTAGTTCTATACTCAATTCCTGCTTACTGACCTCTGGGAGAATTTGCCTGAAAAATAGGAGGGAGAGGAAAAAACCCAAAAACCTATTTAGGCAGCGACAGCAACTGGGAAAGAGGGGAGAGGGAAGAAGGGAAAAAGGAACGGATATTTACATTCTTCTCAAAAATTAAGCTGTAGTGAGAGACTGGATATTGATTTTATAAATAAAATAAGTGCCGAAAATGAAGAACTCCCAACTTCAGTGGGAGTTTGTCATTTAGTTCAATAGGAACATGACGGGGACATCAGGTGCAAATCTGCAGACCTCCCTCATCTGAATAGCCACTACCCACTAAGGGTTTTGGAACCTGTTCATTGTGTTTCACTCACAGAAAATTCTGTAAGAAAGCAATATGACTGAAGCAGAGATCCCATCCGTATATACTACCATAATAAAAAAGATTCTCTGCAACAGTATGGAGAAGACTTACCTGTGATTTTCAGAATACAAGGCAGCATAGATCAATCTCATGTAGGTATGAATCAACTTCTTGACTATGTTCAGGCCCACAACAGAAAAATGGGAGAGGTCACTTGCTGTCCTCAGTAAGATGGCTTCCAGAGCTTGAAAGATTAATAGCATCTGTACAATTTAGAAATATATCTCATTTTATTAGCTCCAAATATCCGATACAGCTTGAAACTATTAGCAGAGCAAACAATAACAAGCTTCATTAAAAACAGAGTGAACCTAATACAAGAGGAAAGCTTCCAGATATGATGACCAAGTTAACCTCTGAATTCTCTCCCAAATTAATGCTTTCTCTTCTACAGGGTTAGTTCTGAGAGTGCTTCTTCGACGATGACCCTACACATAGATTATCCGAAAGACTAGAGACCTACAGAGAGACAGCTGGCTCCTCTTTCTTTTCAGTTGCCAAACTGATGAAATTGAGCAGCAGGGATGGTCATCATCCTCAGCTGCAAGCTCAGGACACTGTCCTAACTGAAAACGTCCACAATCTTGGACAAATAAACTAAACGAAAAAAGGGCCCTACTTCACAAGTGACTTGAGATCTACTGCATACGCACGATTTATCTGCGTATGCACAATAGCCACTTCTGGGGATGCAGAAACTGAATGTAGTGCAAATCTTAGCACAGCCTGACGGATCCTGAAGGCCTTTCTCAAGCTGGAGGCCAAGGCCTAGGCCCATTGAGCCAATGCTGTAAGCCGGAACTGTTAGCATGTGCACAATTAAACATGCTAGGAAAAGACTATCTGAGCCACTTATGTAGTTCCAGTCTTGCACTGAAGTTCTAGCTGAACCCAGAACCCACCCTGCAAAGGGGCAGTATTTATTACAGGTATTAACCTTTATCAGTAAGTGACTCTTACAGAACAGTATTTATTTGAACACGATACAAGTTGTTATTATATAGACAGAAATGATAATTTAATGCAAAGACTGATGACAAGCGGAGGTTAAAAAAGAAGCTATCAAATTTTATGTTGTAAACAAACTTTACTTAAATTAATAATGCTGCTACAGAATAGTCTTTGTGAGAATAATTTCTTAATTCTTATTTTACTCATCATATTTTGAGGAGCAAGGATTGCGTCCGCCTCAGATCAGAAAAATGATGTCAACTTTACCAATGGCTTCTCAGAAATACCGATGTTTCGGTATTAAATTCAGATTAAATTAAGATTAAATTTTGCTTTGCATAATTATATTTCTGTTGGCCTCTTATTTTATAAATGGTCTTCTGATAACATTTAAAAAAGCCTTAACAGCTTGATTTTGGCAGGACTACTAGTTCTGCATATCACCAAATGCAGTCACATCCTTACACTTAAAAGGCTCCTTCCCACTTGACCAAATGCTTCTGCCACTCTAACTCGCAGTAAAAATCCATACTGAATTATTAGAATTATTTATGCTAAAAAGCATTTACCTGACAGTTAATTTCCCAGTCAGTGCACGCAGTGCCAGTCATTAAAATATAATACCCACAGACAACTTACTTCACTTTCAGGCTTTCTTTCTCCATCCAGAAGTTTGAAAATTTCAGCACATTCCACTGAAATTTTTATGTAGCCCTCTACAACATCATATATTTCAGCAGATGGTAACGTCTTAGCTATAGAGATGAATGTTTCTAGACCTGTAATAAAAGAGCTTTATCTGAAGAATACTTTGCATATGATACACTAAAGAACAGTTTCCCAAAGTCTGGGCGCTTCACAGGAGATAAGCGAGGACTGGCGGGTGAAGCGTCCCATATGGAGCACGGGACACGTGGCCTAGATCTTAGGGAAGCAACGTGTGCTCCAGTACAAAACTAATTAACTGTACTATACTGCTTCTTGAGACAGCAGACGTCCGTGGCTCCTCGGGGAGACGACTCCACGCTGGTGCTCTGCCGGCAGAGCCAAGAGAGCACGTTTTTACCTCAGGTCCCTCCCCCCCCCATCACCTCAGCCGGACACAAGCACACCCGCGTACCAAACGGC